CTGGATTTAGATCTCCTCGGGCTAGTAAAAGCTCTACTACCCCTTGATGCCCACCCGCCGCAGCCAACGAGAGAGGCGCTTGGTCGCAATCTTTCTCTAGGCCATTCGGGTCGACGTCCCCCCGAGCTAACAGAAGCCTCACTACTCCCTGGTGGCCCTTCTCGGCAGCCCTCGCAAGCGGTGATCGACCAAGAAACGGCTCCAACTGGTTGGGATTGACGTCCCCCCGAGCCAGGAGAGCCTCGACTATCGTCTCACGCCCTTCTGACGCAGCCAACACAAGCGGCACGCGACGAAACCCTCCGCGCGCGCCGCTAGGGTCGATGTAGTCCCGAGTAAGCAAGAGCCTTACTATTTCATCATGCCCATTCATAGCCGCTACCGATAATGGTGAGTGGCCATGGCGGTCTGCCAGGTTTGGATCAACCCCCGACCATTCTAGCAAGGCTTTCACCCCCTCCAAACTCCCCATTCTGACAGCCCAGAGTAGAGGTGTGCTTTCAAAGGCGTCTCTTGCGTTCACACTACCGCGACTCTCCTCCCCTCTCAACTCTACTATGAGCGCAGCAATGCCAAAGAATGCAACGCAGTGCAGTGCGGAGAATCCCCTAAACGGATCTTTTAATGGCGCATAAAACTTCCAGTAACTACTGTTCATTAACAGTAGCTTAGCAGATATGTGGGTACGATATCGATTGAGGAACGTGAAAGCAAGGGGTTTAACGTCTTCTATGTCCCCTTTCATAGCATGAATCCCCCAGTAGCAAGAAGCGTATTTGGCAAATTCAGGCATCGTCGCGATGGCAGTTGGTGATAAGTTGGTAGTACCCCACCGGAATCGTGGTAAGCCGGTGGCACCACACCGGAATCTTAAATACTCCAGGCAACCCCGCGCCATCGTCGAATGAGGTCTCACGAACACATCGGGATACTGGCGAAGATACTCTTGGAGGCTGTAATGAGCCAGACGGACGGTTGATGATGGAGCATCAACAGTAACCAGCCCCAGAGAGCATTCCAGTAATCTTTGTATGGGAGGGACGCCGCGAGCAGCGGCGCCGTTCCAACCCGTTTTTGCCCCCAGGGCGTGACATAGTTCGTCAGTCTGTAACACCCGCTCTGAATGAGCGACCCACATGAGAGTCTCTATGCCAACTCCTGCGTCGTTCCCCTTTTCCGCCCCCAAGCGCGCTAGCGTTGCGGCATACGCCTCTCCCAAACTCTGGACTTCTCTCATCTCTTTAAGCCTTTTCCTTCTATCAAGGATTGTTGGCTCTGCTAGGATTAAATCCACGACCAGAGAAACGACCAAGAAACTTAACTTAACACTTTAGCTGATAGCCCCAAACTTATTTTTAGGAAGTGGAGATGCTTCTGCTCACGTTTCGGATAGTTTTCCCGGAATATCTCTCAAAATATCTTCTTTCAAATAGTTATCCATTCTACCATCCTTTGCGACTTTCTCTAACTTAGTTCTCGCAAATTTCATGAGATCGTTAGCGCTAGGGTCGATAGGTATAATATCCACATCGCCGAAGTATTTCTCAATTTCGTCGCGAATGTTGCGTCTCCCGGTAAAGAATATCCGAACCCCCCGCAAATACCGGATTTCCCGCAGTGACTCGAGAAGGAGGGCTCTATGCTCAGCCAGACATTCATCTAACCCATCAATGCAAATAAAAGCTCGCCGTCGCGATGCAAGAGCCTTCTTGAGCATTATTGCAAGATCCGGAAGCCCCAGTGTCCTATCCTGGAATCCATAATTTATATACTCTAGGATGTTCCCTGTATCAATGACTTGCTTGAGGATGGCTCCTAGCATGTTTTCCGGAGATTGTTCATTCTGAGACATGAAATCATAGTATAGACCAGCGACAGCGACATCCTTTTCACGGCCTTGATCTTCCAAATAGTCCAAAACCAGAGAACTAATTTCCATATCTATTAGAAACCCCGTACCTCTCATAGATCCATTTCTCATACCTGAGGTACGTCTTCCCCACCCCTGGCTCTCCATAGCAGAAGAGAACATCCCGAGCGGACCCCCCACCGCCGCCACTCCATTCCTGAAACTCTCTCGTGCTTAAAACCCAACACCCTACACCATCGATCCGATTGGCACCCAGGATCCGATGCCGCACGTGAGGGTCTAAGGGTGATATCCACCTCAAAACCCGAAGCGTCGTAACATCGGTCATTGTACTGTCAATGTCGGACAACGAGTGTTTATATTAGAGGTATCATCGGGGTGCCGAGATCCTCTCTAGTATATATGCCGGTATCGCACGAAGCCTCCTCGGTAGGAGGAGTGTCAGGAGGGTTGATGGAATTCCTGGGCTGAAGGGAAGGGGGGCACGGTTTATATATGCCATCGAGGTTCCACAAGTGTATAGCGCGTAGAGCGATCATTTCCCCGCCAAGGAAATTTTACGGGGGATTCATGTTTTGGATAGTAAAATCCTAGGGGGATGCACGTCCGGGATATCGTTCGCAGTCAGAGCGGGAAGCATACAAACTGTGGCCAGATGTTAGGCCGATAGGGGATCTTCTGTAGCCACTACCGGTAAGGGCACTCACCTGAGAGCCTAAATTTCTTCCTATCGTACCAGTATAGCAATGCAGTGTAAGCCATAGGATGGTTAATGTTGCCATTTTTCCCGCGAGTAGAAAATTCGATAGGAGGCCTATCGGCTAGTCCCATCACATCCACATATAATCAGAGAGTAGTCCTGCCACTGCCAATGTTCACCTATCCAATGGATATCCCTCTACTCACGAACTTTGACTTTCCAGAAGTGGGTTGCCTTATAATCCCCAGTAAGTGCACCTCCATATCTTGGGTTAACCCCCCCATCACAGAAACTCAATCGTACAGCACAGATATATTGTATTAGCTCCAGCGCACACCTCTCCCTTCGCCAGAAATTCAGGCTACCCAACGTCAGCCCAGAAACGGGCCCAAAATCACGCCCAGAAAATCACGTACTCACTCCAAGGCTAGTTATTATCGAAAACCTCACACCCTTCTCCAGCTTCCGGAGTCCACAAATGCCCATCTATGCCCCCAGATATATATACAGCACCCCAAGGACCCTGCAACTGCAAACCCATCCAGAACCCCGGCACAGCTTTGCCTCATCCATACCGTGAAGAACACAGAGAGTTCCCCGCAGTGTAGTAACGCTCACTCATGCAGCCTCCCACAAAAAGAAAGTATGACAAACACACACGCAAAAGGGCAAAAGTAAGCCGACACGAACCGAAAATCGCACTCCCAGCCTCTCCTAGGAGCGGAAAGGTCCGGCCTTACGGCCCGCAAGGCATCCCATCGTGCGCAGTTGCACAACGGACGGGCGGACGGATGACGGGGGCTGTTCTCCGGTTTCCGAGATGCGTGGACAGCGCTTGAATTAGGAGTCGACACATGGTGGGTGCATTTTGTATCATACTTTAGGAGATTGGTATCGCCGGAGCGATGTCATGTCCACGCACACACCGGTCCATCCATGGTGTTTCCGGCAGGTTTGTGATGGAAGTGCTGCCCCGTCGGCGAAAATATGAAGGCGACGGATCAGTCGCCCAACGACAATGTACGGGAAGCTATAGCAAATATGATGAGGATGAGGCACACCAAACGACCCCATGGCCCCCACCAAAGACCGCTCTCACGAAGAAAGAATAAAAGAATAAAAGAAAGTGATTTCAATTATCATTACCCTCTGAACCAATCCAGCACGATACCCAAACACAACACTGTCACAGACGCCACAGGCACCGTGCAAGCGGAGAATATCCAGTGCCTATTCAGGAAGGCGATATAACAGCCAGTTATTCATCAGCACGTTTAGACCCCCCCCCCCAACTCTCCAAGCAGGTTTACCAGAATCCCAGGCTCCCAGCGAGTGATACTCCGTGTTCCTCCACCCCCGCACCGCTTGCGTGAATGAAGTGGAGAGAATTGCATCGAGTCCGTCAAACCTCAAACCGAAAAAAGAGACATCAAGAAGGAAGAAGCGAAGCCCTACTTGAAGAAGAAGAAAAAAAATCAAAGAAATCACCAGTGCGCAGGATTGATCAATCCACACCCCAGCGAGAACCTTCCGATTATGCAAAAGAGTAATGGTAAATCAGACCGCAACAAGACAAGCTGACCTCTGCTCCCCCCCCAATTCTAACGCCTTCATACCACCCCTCCAGACGCCAGATCGGCCATCCCTTCGTTCATAACTTACTCGAGTACAGTATCATACTCAGGATCGATATAATAACCCGCTCCCCCCCTCTCGGGGCCCCAAATCCCATTGGCCAGCGTCACCGTTCATAATAGTCTAAGTGACCGAAGCCATACTCGTACCATATTTCTACTCGAGCACAGGCCTTGCTTTAGACAAGATGCGCAATGAAAAGGTTTAGAAACTCGGGAACGAATGAAAGGGATATGAAGGGATATGAAGGGTTCTATGCTGGCCAATTGCCTTCTTCTTTGCCATGATGATCGCTTTTTTAAAGTGCGGCGGCCTGGAGGGGGGGGGGATTTTGCATAGTCTGGTTGGATCGGGCGCCCTTGACTCCGATCCGAGCTTTTGTTTTTCAAAGTGTGAGGATGGCCATCGAGAGAGGGTGAGTGAGGTGAAAAAAACAAAAATAGTTCTACGCTAACGTTCGTGCCGAAGCTAAACAAGGGGCCTCCAACAGTCTGTGCGCGCCCCACTCTGGCCCCAGAAAAGGAGAACACTTGTAAAAAAAAAAAAAAAAAAAGTCGGCATAGACTGTTTGACATGGTGTCGAAAACGATAAATTAGGGTACGGTAGCGAGAACCAACACTTCCCCCGGAGGAGATACGGTGCTTGACTTGAATGAGAGGCTTGACTCATCAGAGAGAGCAGGTGATTCTTGCCACCCTATCAACCTATCGAGTAGTCTAAATCACTCCCGGATGTGATGAGTCCCTACTTTCCTACCATAGATCAATTGCGAAGGAGCCAGATAGACTAGTATGTCGATGATTTATCTCTCCATTCAATTAAACTATGAGGTATCATACCTACATAAAACCTAGCTGATAAAGTATGACGTGAAGGGAGTAGAGATGTCTTAGAAGGATGTAGGGAGAAATTGTAAAAAAGGGAAAGAATTACAAGCCATGAACAACTCTTTACTTGTGGGAGTGAAAGCCAACATGATCACGTGTATCTTCCAAAAAAAACCAAAAAAACATTAAGTTGGTATGGTGAGTTAGTAAAATTTTTAACAGAAAAACAAGCAAAAACGCCATTCCCAGTCCATGATCGATCCATAAAAACCGTGTCTAAAAACAATGCAAGAGAGCTTTTCATGTAAATGAAAAATAAATGCATTCACACTCCAGCGACTGCTTCAACCTTCTTCCCCTTGACGGATGCCCATTCAACGCCGAGACTGGCGATCACGCCGACGACAGCCATCGCCACGGCGGGATAGAAGCACTCGACGAGGGCGTGGTTGTAGGCCTTGAGAATGGCGGGATGCATGTCCGCCGGGAAGGTAGACTTGAGACTGGTAGCACCAGTGTTGAGGATAGCAACTGGGTCGATATTAGGGAGACTCTCAGCAAGCCCTGCGACAAGCTTATTAGAGAAGACGTTCTGGCCGACCGAGATGAAGAGAGCTCCTCCAAGGGTTTGGAAGAAGACTATGACGGCAGTTCCAGTTGGCACGTCCTCTAGCTTGAGAACTGTCTGAGCTGCAATCATAGGTTGTTGCATGCAAAGACCAATACCCGCTCCACAAATGAATTGGTATCCGATCCATTTGGCATGACCAGTGTCGACTTCAAAGGTTGTAAGAAGACCCGCACCAATTGCGCAGATGGAGGCACCGACAATCATAAAAGGTGTGTAATAGCCACAGATAGTGATGAGAATACCGGCGAGGATGGAGAGGACAACAACTCCCAAGATCAAAGGAAGATTCATGATTCCAGACTTGGTAGCGGAGACGCTCTTAATAGCCTGGAGCCAGATTGGAATATAGAAGACGAGCAACATGAAGGCGGATCCGACGGAGAAGGCGAGCATGGAAGAGAACGCAATACTACGCTGCTTGACGATACGAGGAGGAATAGTGGCCTTCTCCTGACGCCAGAATTGTGTAGCGACGAACCCAGTTAGAAGAACAAAGGCGGTGACCAAAAGGCCGATAATACGCCCGGATCCCCACTTATAAGTAGTGCCACCCCATTGCAGAGCCAACAATAGGGAAACGACACCAGGAAGGAGAAGGCCGGTTCTGTAGAGCCAGATCAGCACCGCATATGAAAAGGGTTGTTACCGGTTATCTTACCCAACAAAATCAACTTGCTTGAGCTTCTCGGTAAGAGTCAATTTGTCGGCTTTAGCGCGCTTTGGGGGAGTGAAGTAAAGAATCATCTATAGGTTTGTTAGCAAAAACCCAAACCACAAACGCCATAGCAACCCACCACAGCGACTGTGATAGCACCGATGGGGAGATTGATGTAGAAACACCATCTCCATGTAGCGTGATCAGTAAACTGAATGAGTGATTGTCAGCGAATCTCCCCCTAAACTCCAAGCGCCGTGACTTACAGCTCCACCCATCAATGGGCCAGCAACACTCGCAATACCATACATGGCTCCAATGAAACCAGTATACATCGGTCGCTTCCGTAGCGGTACCGAATGGGCAAGAATGATCAAAGCACCAGAAAAGATACCCGCGCATCCCAAACCAGCAATTGCACGTCCGACAATGAGAGCCTTCGAAGTAGGCGCAACACCACAAACCAAGGATCCGAGTTCAAATATTCCGATAGCAGCCAAGAATACCCATTTCAAACTGAAGAATGTATAAATTTTTCCGTAAACCAATTGGAAAGAACAGATCTGAGAGTTCCATCAGTTGAACGATATCTCACAGTTGAGTATAGATCATCATCAACTAACCGTCAACATATACGCAGACCCATACCAACCGACATCATTTAAAGCCCCAAACTGGTCAGTAATTTTAGGGATAGCAGTTGCAATAATGGTTTGATCCTGTATTGAAAGCGCATGTTAACCCTCACGAACACCGAACAAGACGAAATAAATAAACAAGTGGGGGCGCTTGTTATATCGTGAAACCCACCAGAGCAACCAAGAACACGGCCAAGGACAAAGCAATCGTAATCAACGTAAGCGCAAAAGGACCCGGATACTGAGTCTCATCCTCACTCCCCTCACTTCCGCCCTCCGACCCGGCATCCGAGCTCACGACTCCTTCACCGTGCGTGGTTGGTGTAATGGGTCGCTTCTCGGAGTCCAGGTTTGGTGAAACTGGTCGAGAATTATCCAGAAAGCCCTTCTCCCCCGTACCCCCCACGTCGTTGTTCACACTAGGAGCAAGTGTTGAGGAATCGGTAGTAGTAGCCATAGTGGCAGTTGAATGGTTCTTTTTCAAGGCCGTTTGAGGAGGGCTCAAGTCAGACTTGCCCATGGGACGAGTAATGAGTACAAATCTAGTGTTTGCGCAGGACACTTCTCCCAAGTGACAATCCGATAGAGAGGAAGAGCAAACAAGGCGTTGCGGGAGAATTGAGAAGGAAATACTGTGATGGTAGAGAGAGGGCAGAAATGTAGGAGCAAGGCATGCGGGGCTTGATATTTATTATTCCCACAAACGCGGGAAAGGGAAAGAAAGAGAGAGGGAAAGAGAGCTGGGGGGCTTGAGTGCATGGGTCTAGGCAGGTGGGTCAAATTTGACTAAGGTTCTCGTGTTCTACGAACCAAGCATACTAGTATATCATTCATTGCCTAAACTAGAAGCCTGGTTGGGGGCCAAACCAGCTGCCTGGGAGATATGATACGAGTAGGGTACGGCATTCGCACTGTACTATAATACATAACTTATCATACTGATAAGTTTTCACCCTATTAACCCTCTTGGCCAAAACTCTCCCTACCCCACCACCATCCCCTACCGTATTATGCAATCTCATCTGATCAAGTGTTTGTTTGGTTGGACCTTGAGAACTACGGTAGCTGTGAAATAATTCTCCCCTTTCCTCCGCCTAAGAAACAAAAAAGAAAAATAGTCAAGAAAAATCATCCCTGTTCTGCTATGGAACCTATGTTACGGTAGCACAGGGCCTTCTCGAAACGGAAAAAGAGTGGAATCGATTGGGAAATGGAAACAAAAAGGTTGTCAGGACTCTGCATCACTATCGTGCTCGTTGCACCGATCCATAAAGGCAATAACGGAGGATCTCCACTTTACAGCACCCATTCCAAAACGAAAATATGCACATATATATATATATAAGCATAAATTGTTAGGGCAATAAATTGAAAATGAATAAATAAAGCAAGCAAGCACAGCAAAATGTGTACTAGTACTCTTACAAGTACTCGTACTGTAGAAATCTTTCCACGCCTTCCCCCGCCCGCATCTGCACTTTTTTTCCCTTTTTTCTCCCCGAACATCGAATCCTCCCCCCTGGCCCTTGTCGGACGGTCCCCTCGGACGAAAGACGCGCCGGCCATCTCCACCAGCTTGCAGGTTGTTCCGGCTAGCCCTCTTTCCGCGTCCCGCACCACACACCGTTTTACACGCGAGAAAAGGCCGAACCAGAAATATTTAAAGGGTTTTTGCGGTACTCGAGTGCCAGGAAAAGCATAAACACCTGTCGTCAACCAGTCAAGTGTTGGAGTCCCATGAAAGAAAGAAAGCTTGGTCTCTCGACTGCAAGAGCACTCCCTGGAGCGCCGGAAGAAGGCACACATGCACTGCGGAAAAGAAAAAGAAAAAAAAGTTGAGTGAGAGGAAGAGATCAGATGAATAAATACCTCGAGAGCGGAGTCAAATGTGTATTCCAACGTCATGGTGAACGGAAAAAATTACGAAAGGGGAGAATTATCCCCTTCTCACTCGGCAGCCTCCGCACTACCTCATAATTCACATATCGCGCCACACGAATCTGGAAGGAAGAAAAAGAAAACCAAGGACGCAAATCCCGAGATCACTCTTGACTCATCCATCCACTCACAACCAAAAGCCTACAGTACGAGTACAGTACTTGTACGAGTACCGTACTCGTACGGTAAGAGCACTCGAGTAATGAATCAATCTCGTGTAACCCCCAAAAGTGAACAAAAAATTTCCCCATTGCGTTGGTCCTTCCTGTCCAGCCAGCCCAAGCCTCACTCGATACCCTGAGCTTACTTGTTTGTCCATGCCTATGATACCCGTTTAAACCCGACCGCCTTCCCAATCGCTTTGCAGTAAATTAGCCAAAGCACAACGCGAGGCTCAACGCCGACCCCTTCATATTATCAAGGATGGCTCAGAGGGAAATCAAAGAAAAAGAAAAGAAGAAACTGGCCGGTGCCCCCGATTGGCCCATGATTCGGCACTGTTGTTCCATGATTGGCGCCCGCGGTCTCGGGTACCCACCCCACGCAAGGTATCCAACGCGACGCGTAAATGGGGTTCGCTTTCGGATGTGGTAAAGCGAGGTCTTTGTGCTTGTGTGGGATGTTGCTCTGCGCATGCTAGTGGTGTGTGGATCGGGGTCGTTGGAACGGTAAAGTACGAGAGGCCGATATTTGATAGGTACTCGTACAAGTACGGGTTCAAGAAGGGAAGACTGTCAACCTTGTGGCACAGTCAAATGCAACAGTGGCTGTGCAAATAATTGCCAAGACACAGAGTGATTGACTATGAAGAAGTGTAAATATTGTAAGAGACATTAATTATATACAACAGTTTGAGAGTCTGAAACTCTCCGATGACTTCTATATACTTTGGTAACCTTCTCTTTAAAGTCTGGTGTACCATAAGCAATACCTTCATGATATGCTCTCATCATTCTCTTAGTATGTGCCCAAAACTTCCAGATTAAAGTTGGCTTCACAGAATTCAGGCATTCAGGTACCATTTTCCATAATGCTTGAATATTGTATCCGCATTTTCCTCGTGCATAGCGCTTTGCAGCTCTCCAATAGTACTCAATAAAATTGAGTTCACAGTGATACTTAGGGAAAAAAGTAACAAGGTGGACTTAAAAGAACACCTCTTCCTCCAAGCGGCTTCTTTGAGCCTTGAAATCTGACTCTTTAGCCATCAATGCTCTTGCACAGCATGCCCCTCCATTGAGGTATTCCTTGTTCTTTTTTCCATCTGGTCTGCAACATTGCACTCGCAATTTCAGTCTCCGTACACCTCTCTCCTCTAGTACCATTTGGAGTCCCTTCGGTGAACTATCAGGCAGTACCATTGGTTGAATCTCTGTAGTTAAAGGGTTTATACCAGGTCGAAGCTGAGCCTGACCTCCACCTGGATATAAGTTCATTGTACCTGCTCGTAGGCCATCTGGTGCATAGGCTGAATGACTCGTGGCATTGTCAAACAGGAATAAAGCCTGGCAGCCAGGAAATGCAACTTTGAATATTGAAATTGCCAGCTTTAAAACCTGCTCAACAAGTTGATCGCCATCCCACCATGTATTGCCACCATATTCAATCGAACAGGTGGCAAGATGAAAATCAAGGCATCTTGAACCCTCATCCTAGTTTCCATATTCTGGGTTAAAATCAAGGTGTTCACCTTCAGGAACTCTTAAGCATCCTCCAGGAGTAAGAAAATCAGACACTATAATTCCCTTTCTATGTAATTTCTTTTTAAGCAGGATATAATCATCCTTAATCCAAATCTTTGACCAGCCATCATTCGCATTAAATGTGATCTTATCATGGACAACCAGCATAACTGGCTTCACTCCAGCTGGGAGATTTTGGGGAAATACTATTGGAAGTTCTTCACCCTTGTTTGTAGAAATCAGCTCCCAGCGTACTATCCGATCTTCAAGTCCTTTCAAGGTAGGTAAGAAGTACTCCTGCCTATACTCAACTACATCATCCCACTCATGCCCATCCTTATATACACCTTTTTTGACATCTTGTAGTTTATACCCCATCTGCTACAACTATTTTACAGCTGTGCAACTACTTAAAGTCTTCTGTACCTCCTGTCTCTCATTTGCCTATTGAGCCAGCTGGGCTTCGATTTCTAATATATATCGTAATGGAGGTGTTTTCATTTCAAGCTGTTCTTCAAAAGGTAGTATTCCAGTCTGCCAATATGATGAAATGGCATAAGCAACACTTTGGCCTGTAATCCTCTCTCCTGCCCTATCCAGGTACTCTCGTAAGGCTAACTTTGTTCCTTCATCATCAATCAATCGATGGAGTATAGGGGACTTCTCCTAATATGACAGAGGAATATGGCAGTCCATAATCCATCTCTTTTCATGTTGGATAACACAATTTCAAACTCACTCTCTACAACTACCAGTTGCTGCTACAATAGATGCTGCATCTTTACAAGTTCACTTCTAAAAGGTTTTCTGCAGCCCATATCTTTGAAATCAGAGGAACTTTAGAACTTAGAGCTGGTGTGCAAGATCTTGTCCTTTTGGCTTTTTCCTTTTTGAGTTTAATAGTCTTCGCATATCCTAAATTCCTAAAATATTTGTTAGCTATTTCAATATTCAAAATATAATGAGTTTAACAAAAATACCATTCATCAAGATTCGATGCTTAAACCGCATTGATTGATACTTAGATAATACTGGCCAGAATCTAACTGCTTTAGCCATATCATCTCTTTCCTCATTCATCTCTTCTTGCACTTCCTGCTCTACCTCCTCCTACTATCCAAGCTCTAATGCTTCCTCCGCTATTCATTCTTCATTTTCAACCTCTCTCTTCTCCACTTCTTCTCCACTTCTTCTCCCCTAACCTCTCCATTCCTTATTCTCTCATTCTCCCGGATTCTCTCATCCATCTCATCTCTTTCTACTTCTAAGAGTACTGTCTGATCTGGCTCTACCTCCTCATATTCTCCTAGTACCTAGGATTCTCTTCTATCTTTCTGCGCTTGCAACTCAGCTTTCTTCTTTCTCCTCCAAATTGTCTGCTGACAGGGGACTTTCCCCCCTCTTCCACTGCGCGCCAAAGCACTTGACGTCTATCACGTAAGATCCACGTCGCGGC